TGTCTTGCTCACAGACTCTCCCCAGAGGCAATTATTTATCTCTGTTGAATGAATGGATGGCCACGGTCCAGGAATTTATTGCCTTGATAGCAAATGACTTATCTGAACTGACCCTGGACTCTCTTTTCAGAGAAAGAAAAAGAGAAAGAGAGAGAGAGAGAGAGAGAGAGAGAGAGAAGGGGAGATGAAGAATTCTCTGGGGCTCTTTCCCGATGAAGGGAGGCAGAGGCAGCCTGGGGCTCCGGCCTCAGCCTCTCTGGGTCTGCATCGGCGTCTTCTCCTGCCATGTAACCCCGATAAATCGGAGTCATCCTGCGCCCTTTCTCTGTTATCTCTGCCTGGGGCTCTATTTAAAGGAACATGATTTTGACTCAGAAAACCTTGAAAAAAAAAACCAAAAAAACTCGCTAGGTATTTACTGAAAAGGCGGGAGATGGGAGATTTTTTCCCCCAGTACTGGGGATTGAACCCCGGGGCGCTTTACCACCGAGTGACACTCCAGCTCTTTATTTTGGATTTGAGATAGGGTCTCCCTACGTTGTCCAGTCTGGCCTCACACTTGCAATCCCCCTGCCTTGGGCTCCTGAGGAGAGGGATTATAGGCTTGAAACACTGCACCCAGCTAAAAGGGGAGAGAATTTTGTTCCACAAAATGCAAACTTTCTAAAATGGAGACTCCACCCTTACCAGAGCTGCCTTTGACCTGGCAGCTGCTTCTCACATTTTTCCATTTCCCCCGGACTGTAACCCACCGTTCCCCACGTCGGGGTCCCGGCAAGCTAGTGTGTGATCTAGAAGCAGGCGCCGACTTTCGGCACGCGTGGTCCCTGGCTCTGCAAAGTTCTTGTCCCGTGGAGAGAGGCGGGGCGAGACAGATGCTGAAGTACAGGGCCCGAGCCAGAGGCCCCACTTCCGGGGACCAAGGATCTGACGGGCTGAGCGTCATCCCAGCCTGTCCCTGCCTCCTGCCTCCTCTCTTCCCTCTAATCATCTCCGCGGCTCTGTCATTTTGGGTCACTGATCTCTGAACCCTGAACAGGGCCCTGGGGCTGGTGCCAAGGGCAGTGAGCTCCTGCCTCCCCAGGCCTCCAGCATACCTTCAACCAGGGCTCCCCACGCCTCTGCTGAGCCCCAAACAGCTGGCGAGTTCCGGCCGCTAGCTGTGCTTTCAGGATCATTTTGATGGGATGCTAGAAAGTGAGGGTCCCCTGGCCTCAGGCTCATGGCCATGTGAGAGGGGCTCTGACCCTGGGCTGCAGTGGGCAGTAAGAGGCTGGGCCCGCCCCCTCCCACCAGGCCTCTCCAGCCAGGAGGCATCGCCAACCTGCAGGGGTGGGTGCCTTTGCTTTCCTGCCACCTGTCACCTCCGTCGCTCTCAGCCCTGACCAGCCCTCTGAGGGCAAATTTCCAAAGCCCAGCTCTGAACGGTTCTCCCGATTTCGTGTCTCCCACAGCCCACAGGAGAAAATCCAGCTCCTTCACTTGAACTTCAAGGCTCCTGTGGCTTCGTCTTTGCTGTTCTCCCCTTGCCTGATCCAGCCACCTGGGGCCTGGCAGAGGGACCTCCCCGATAGGTTCCTGCTCACTGTCCCTCTTCCCCTTCCTGTAATCCCTCCCCATTCCCCCCCCCCCGTGAGTTCTGCTCAGGTTTTGAAGTGACAGGTGTGTCCCTTTGTGCAGAATCCTTTCTCTGCCCCCTGCCCCCATCTCCACTCTAGCCAGCCCCAGTCTCTCCCTCTCTGCAGGACCTCTGGCTCAGTCCCCGTCCCACATGTTACATAATCACATTGGCAGCCTGACAAGCAGCCTCTGCTCCTCCGGCCCTGGACTCAGCCTGGCCCCACAGTTTGCCTCTCCGGTGATTGTACCGGCCTTGTGAGTTGAGGACTATTGCTTCCCATTTTCCAAGTTAGAAAAAAATAGCTAAGGCGCAGAAAGAGCTTCGTTCAAGGTCACACTGGTTGATTGATTGATCCATGAATTCAATCAATAAATATTTATTATGCACATGTATAATACAGACTCTGATGCAGAAAACCAGGGTTCTCATCCTGATGCCCCTTATTTACTTGCTGTGTGACTCAAGGAAAGTTCCTTGCCTTCTCTTATATCATCTTCCTCATTTGTAAAAGGGAGAGTAATGAAAGTACTTGCATCCCAGGATTGTTGTGAGGATAGAACGTGTTCATCTGGATAAAGTAGCAGTCGCTCAACACGCATCAGCATGTTATTCTTCCACGAGGAGATCAGGATTCGTTTTCTAGATAAGGCAGTGTTAGAGAAATATATAAATAATTATCCCTCAGTCCATTAATTTGTCCCCAGAGTAGGCTCAGGTCACAGGCTGACACTCGCAGTATAGGCGAGCCTCAGGAAAAGGGCATGGCTTGCTTGAGAGTCTGTAGAGATGGAGGCCATGGGTCCAGCAGCTGCCAGCAGGAGGGCCCTAGCTGCAGGCCATCTCTGGGATCCAGGTGGGCTGCTTCTTGGGCTGTAGCAGGACTGGCGAGCCCAGTGCTAGAGCCTGAGGCTTCTTCAGTCAGATAATATCAAACTCTAGCAGGGCCCTGCCAAGGCCCAAGGCAAAGGGCACAGCCAGGGCCAGGCTACGGTTCCACCACGGCACCCATCACTGACCGCCAGGGCTGGGCACAGCCACCTGGCTCCATCCCTTACAGGACAGATTGGCTCTGGGCCTTGTGGTCACCCTGGCAAGACAGGGCAGCTGGAGCAGAAGCCGGTCTCCATACCCTCAAAGTCTTGGCATCTTCTAAACATGCTCTTGGAGGAGGTCCTGGCCATTGGTTTCTGTTCTGGTGGGAATGTAGGCCCCAGAATCCTGATCACAGTGGCAAACGGCTGTGTCGGTACGTGATAGATCCGAGAGGGCAGACTAGCAGCCAGAGAAGGGCCGGGACCTGGTGCTCCCTTTCTCTGCTCCTGGGTCCCCTGACTTCCAAGTAGCCCCTTCCTAAGAGAAGCCTTCCACCTCTGCTCAGCCAAAACAAAATATCAGAATATCATTTCATGGTTTATTACAAACACAGGTTCTCGGGTAAATAATTGAGGATCTAAAAAAATACAATAAAATAAATAACTGGGATTCTCAAAGTCCTTGGAGTAAATAAGTTATATACAGAGGGATGAAGCAGAGCAGGCTCTCACCAGCAGTGTCCCCAGGGCATGAGGGGGACCCGGCCTCTGGGAAGGGGGAGCCAGAGAGGACAGATGGGGCTGGTCAGGATTCCAGCTCCTGGGGGGACCCACGCAGCCTCCGTGGCTGCCTTAGGTGTGAGCCTGCCACACTGCAAGGTCCCTCCTGGATTGTAGCCCAGCAAACAGGAAGTTCCTCGGGACACGACCTCCAGGTTCACTCGGCCCCCCTTAGTCACTTTCAGCAGGCCTAGAGGCCAGCAGCCATCGCCAGCAGACTGCCCTGCCATCTGGGGGCCGAGGGCTGTGCAGCATGAGGGCATGAGGGCACCAG